TTCTCTAAGCGATAGCTGACAGTGAGCAGTGGACGAAGGTCTTGTTCTTGTCGCTACTGCCTAACGGCCCAAGTAACGACTACAGAACCTATAATTCCAGGCTTGAAAGCCTCTACCTTTGCCCAGTAGATGGGAACCAGATTTGGCACGTGGACAGATTAGTGTATACATGTGCTATTTTGAAATTTATGTGATCCGTTCATATCTAGACGAGAGATAGTCCTACAGTGAGTGATCTGTGCCGGCCACTAAACAGGCAGTTTTACCGACAGCCAGCCAACAACCATGAAGTGAAATCCATACCATGAGATTAGTGCATAGATCCCAATTTTCATGACTTGAATTAGAATTAACAATATGTCCCATTGGATTCAAAAGCGTTTCATTTTCAATAAACATGCATAGAGGCCGTCTCGAAAGAAGAAACCTTTGAGCTTCTGCGTACCGTGCAGTGTTGGTCCCGATGGTCTTTCATCTTCCCTTCTGGGGCCTATTCTCTCAGTGAAATATTCCCATCATTTTTGAACAATTCCTTAAAAACCTGCTCCATACCAGAATGTTGGAAACCAGTCACAATTGCTTCCATTCCCAAATCCGCTACTTCAAACATTCTAACCAAACGCGTTTGTCCTATCGCTTTGAATTTTGTTGGACCTAACGTAGCAGAATGCGTTGTTCTCACTCTTCATTTGATTTCCCGTACGATCCTCTTCAGTTTGCCCATGAACCAAATAGATGCACGCCAGATGCAGTTTCCTCACTTGTATGTAACGTTTTCCAATCCTTAGATGACTTTGCGAAATATGTTCGTTGTATGTTTCTGGAATACTCATCTGCTCTTGATTCTATTCCTCGTCCCCGTCTTTTTCGTAAACTGGAGACTTTTGGTCGTCATAGGTAGTTATGTTTGTTTTTCCGATTACACCTCCAGGAGAACTGTGTTCTAGGCTAGGTCAGAAGAAATCCAAACCATTGGTGGACAATTCTGGGGTACTTCAAGGTGAAGTTCTTCACCCATACTTATTTTCTATGTATATTAGTGACTTGTCCGCTAAGGACGTGGTTTTATTTCAGGCGATCTCCGATTCTTCTAGTCTTTCATAGTTTTTTGACAACTTTTTTAACGTTCAACAGTTTTCCGTCACATCTGGCTTATCTCTTTATTCCTCCAAATGTTTCGAATGTCTCTTTATAGTATCACGCTCTTCTTTCCCATCTATCCGGGATAAGCTGTATTAAATACCCGGGGTCTTTTATCACTACTAATCTTCACTGGACCTCTCCACTTCGAGATATTGTCAGTGAGCTTCTACGACTTTCTTTTCAGATCCGTAAACTTTGTCAGTTTCGCATTCAACAAACAATTAATTCCAAACTCATGTACCAGTATGTTTTCTTCGTTTTACTTTAATGTTCACCTTTGGTTTTCTCCAATCTCCTCACGAAAGATTTCAAACTGCTTCGACTTGGACTGACTTTCATCAGCCGCATCCTTTGAATCCCGCTGGAGTAGGGGTTGACCACTGACCTGTGTGCGAAGGTCATTTGAGGGCATGTGAAAAATTTGCACATCAGATTCTTATTGACTCCACTCACAGATCTAACCACCTCCTGTTGTTCCCATCCTTCAACTAGATTCCAATACCGTTGTGTTGCCTCTCTCGAATAGACATATATCTTAACTGTACAGTACCTCAATTGACACGTATTCTACAGGTAACAGAAGGACAGGTTTTCACTGAATTCGTTCACAGTTTTGAGAGTTAAAACTCTTTTTTGAATACTATTATTTTTTTTTAAATTTTCTCCCTCGTTCCAATTTGTATACTTTTAACTGAAATTTAGGCTTTATGCCTACAGAAGTTATTACAATACAATACAGTTCAACTGTTCTCACAAGTGAGAAAGAAACGAATTACTCATGGTTGAAGAGATTAGCTGTTACGCAACAATAACATGTTGTATTGGTATTTATGTTATATCCGGTTCCCTTCTGTAACCGTACAGAAAGTGCTTCGACAATGGTGGTTACTTGGGTCACAGAAAGTGAGACACCACAATCCGCGGTCATGTACGGCACCCAGCGCAACGCAGAGGATATCGTCATATATGGATCCCAAGAGAAATTTGTGGACGGTGGATCAGAGCAACGAGCAATCTTTATTCATCGTGTGACTTTGAACAATCTGCGGACGGGAACGATCTATTGTAAGTGTTATCTGGTTGACTGTTTCTGGTGGGTTACTTTGAAATGAAGTATTATTAGGCAATGGAAAATTTCATAACATTACAATGATAGAAGCTCACTTTTCCAATTTAAAATTTCTACCGTGGCAGCTGGTTGGAGAGCATAGACTGGTATCATGGATGTCTCCGATGTTGCTTTCTGAAGAAAGTCTGTCAGGTGTGAGGTCAGAACAATGAAGGACCACCGTCTGTTTCAGAGGTCTAAATAAATTTCTGATCAAATGGGAATTCGTCTTGCATATGGCAAATGAAGCGTGAACTGAAAAGCTAGGAATCGCTGGATATCTGTTTCGACCTGGTTGGGTCTCGCTAGCAGTGCGAATCCATCGACCCAACTGGGGATCGGACCCGGGACTTCATGGGCAGAACACAAACATGCTACCCACTCGGCAACCGGGCAGCCAATCAGACCGTTTTTCATTTTCCATTTACACGATAAAGCATAGCCAATCTTTGCGAGCTTGTTGCGGACCACAGACCCTGCTCGTCTCCACAATAGCCTCCAGGGTTATGACTCGGTTGGAATCATTTACAACCTGATTACTTATTCCATATGAGTAATGGAGGATTTGATTAAATTTCTGATCACTCCACGTCCCGGTTAGAGCTGACTGACCATCTCTCTCTATTGTCCTTGTCAAGACGGCCGGGTGAAAGTGAGCGTGAGATAAATAAGAGGCAATATTCACAGCTTTGTCCTTGTCACAGACGATTTACACACACACACACACACACACACACACACACACACACACACACACACACACACACACACACTTGTAATCACTCTCTGTGAGGGATTCCAGATTGCCTACAAATATTATTACTCTTAAACAGCTTTATTTAGTCATACATTTGAAATCATTCCCGTACAGGCTCCCTTCAGGGGATATCGGAGACTGGTGCTCACGTACAGTAATCATAGAGCATTATTGGAAAGATGACCGGCTTGGCGGTCAGTAGTTTTGTTCTTGAGCGTACATTGAACTAGTTAATCATAGAACTAGTCTGTTGGTGCTGACAGTGTGCATATACTCTATTCTTGTATTTATATTCTCTATTTGATACTACCAGGGTCCCTTATCATCCAAGTGTCTAGATATGGTCGAATGCTTTATGGTTTC